CATCTGCCAAAAAAAGCGAGCAAGAGCGAGCATGAGCGAGCATTCCTGTATGTTTGCCCGTGTTCGCTCATGTTCACTCGTGTTTACTGCACATATTGATGTCTCGTCCACACCAGAGCGAATATCTTCAAGTTCGTAGTCGTAGTTGATCTATCTACTTTGTACGAGCACCTTTTGAGGTACCGCCTTCTTCTCGATCTTTTCTGAACGCGAACAAGCATACGTTCGCTCGTTCGCTAGCCCGTACTCACCAGACGATTATTGAAACAGAATGCTCGTTCACTCTTGTTCGCTCGTGCTCGCTTTTTTGGTGAATACGTACCTTAACATGATTGGTTGAGTGAAACAATAGCTATGAATGCTAATCTCCGTCGAGTAAAATAAAGTCCATTCATTATTATAGTAAAAAATTAAAATTTTACTATATTCACTGCAAGTGTTAAGCAAATATTTGTTTTTGCTTGTACAAAGTTATTGATATTTTTACCTGCATTGAAATGGTCTTCACACATAAAAAACGTAGTCTCAATTGATACCCTTTTGGAAATATGTTATTTTGCTTTGAAAAAAGTGTTTCATTTATTATTATCATAAAAGCCATTTTGTGTTGGACACGAGCTTTGATAATACCTTACCAACAATTGAGTCAGTCTTTGCTGAGACTTCCAGATATAACTTTCATAATCGCACTCAACGTATATACCACTGATGATGTACGTTGCAGTAGCAGACGAAACGTTCGATATTCCAGGTTCAATTCGACCACGGTCTACCAACCCGGACTTTATTCTTTTCAATCATGACTCTAACCATGGCAGTAATTATGTGTCGCAGCTGAAACTTCTACGGTGAAGAGCCATGTGAATAAGTACTTTTCAGTGAAAGTACTATTTGTTTCCTGACAATGTACTGTACAGAACCGTCAAAAACTTGAATGAATTGCGAAACAAACCTTTCATAAAAGGGATTAGCTTTAACAAGACAGTGAGGTGTTTGATGCTTAATCGACACTTGACAAGGGTTGAAGAAAATTATCGTTTTTAGCGAAGGCGCATTATAATATTTACCTATAAGGAAAGTCGAAAGTTATTAATATCAATAACTCCAGTCTGTGTCGAGTAACCTATCTGCTGATTTTAACGTTAGGATTTGACAGTCATTTAGTATATCTCTGAAAACATTATACAATTCAGTTTTTACGTTCAACAGAAAGTGCAACAAAATAACATATTAGACGAGTTCACTTGCGACTTGAAGAATGAAAAAATTATTCTCTAAGAGCTTCTGAAAGATGAGGTTAATGAATAAAACGAATAATTCAAACCAATCAAAGTGAAGCCGGGAAAAGATCTATTATGAAAATGTTCATTTCTTCTTTCTTCGATTGAATAGACGATTGCTTTTTAACTTAAATCTCTACGATTCACTCAGATGTTTCAGGTTCATGAATATTATTTCTATCAGAAACATTTGTGAAGTTGATGTTTCAAGGATGTTTCAAGATGAATTTCATCAGTTCGGACTTTCATTGTCTGATATTATATAAAATGATTTGAAATCCCTGAAAAAACTAAAAAGAATAATTGAAAAAGAATAGCTCAATGAACAGAAGATCTAAGAGGTTCTTCAGAAGGGACAAAACACGATGATCGTACATGACCCTACTATATCGATTGAAAGGAAGTTGAACCAGATTTTTATGAAACACCAACTCGAGAAAGACGTTTCGCTCAAATAGATCATCAGCTCCTGAGATTCGACTACTCCTCATAATACAAACATTACAAGAAAAAACATAGTATTTTGTGAGGAATTCAATGCAATTTGTCGAACTACTAGCGGCAATCGAAGTCACAAAGCAGGATCAACTAATCAGTTCCGACGTGAAAAATTTTACACCAACGTTCCTTGTCGAGGAAGCACTGCAAATCATACAGAGGAAGCTATCCAAAGACGGTGACCTTGAAGATAGAACGAATTCACCTATAGAAGTATTTATGGAATCACTAGGATGCTGTGTACGTAACTGTTATTTCCAATTGAAGGACGAATTCTTCAATATATAACGTGTTTTGAAACTCTGGCCATTAAAGAAGCCCACAAGAAACCCCGTATCTGGTTCAGATACGTTGACGACATCTCCATAATTTGAAACCATGGGAATACTGAACAAGACGCTTTCCTGAAACACATTAACATCATAAGACCCTTCACACAATGAATTGCCATTCTCAGATGTATTGGTGAAAAGGACCGACACTAAGTGGAAACATCTGAATACCGAAAACCCACTAACACGGTAAGTATCTGAACCAGGAATCCATCATCAATCGACTAACAGATGAATCATCAAGACTTTATTAGACCGTGCTTTCGTGCTCTGTGATACGAAGGATGGTCTCGGGAAGAAACAAGACATCATCAAAAATGATCTTCAACGGAATGGCTACTCTGAAGAGATGGTGGAAAAGACTTTGGCTAAAAAAACTTGCTTCAGATCCGGAAACACTATCCGTAGCAGTCTCACGAACACCAGACCACCAAAGGCGGACTGCAATTCCAAGAAAAACATTTACCGGATACCCTGTGAGTGCGGAAAATCCTATATCGGTGAAACTAAGAGGCCATTGAATCTTCGCATAGCCGAGCACATGCGAGAGGAAATCAGCAAATCAGGAATATCAGAGCATGTTTGGACCCATCAACATAACATAGAGTCGTCCCAAACTGAGATAGAACACAGGAAGGAACACTGGTTTAGGAGGAAATTCAAAGAAGCCACATGTTGTCCAACAATGTATTCAGCCAAGCTAGCGTAGAGATACGCAACATATGGAAATCCATCAAAATTGTTTATAAAAAGAATAATATGTACCGCAAATGGAAACTTGATCCAAACAACGAAATTTTGAAAAATGAATACATGGAGATTAAGAAAAAAGTTGAACAATCAATTAATCAAGCGAAAATAAAATATTTTAAAAAACGCGTAGAAGAAGAGAATAATGCCTCTACTAGACTTTGGAATACAGTTAACGAAATTCTAAAAATACCAAATTGCAGAAAAATAGGTGAAATTGAAAATGAAGACGGCGATTTGATTACGGAAACTAAATTCAAAGCTGAATTATTCAACGATTTTTTTGTAGGCGTAGGAGAGAATTTATCAAAAAAAATTATTAAAAAGCAAAACTATAGAAGTAAAAAAAACATAACAGTAAATTCCATATTTTTTGAGCCAACAAGTGAAAGAGAAGTCGAAAATATCATTCATCAATTGAAAAATAAAAAAGCACCTGGATATGATGGGATAAAAGGGGAAACATTAAAGTTACTCTCAAAATACATAAGCAAACCACTAACAAGCATCATAAATAAATCATTCGAATTAGGCTATTTTCCTGAAGCTTTCAAAATATCAATTGTTACTCCANACTGCAAAATATAACTATGTTCGTAATTGAAAATCAAATTGCCATTGTAGAAAACACATCTGATTCTTTCTACAAATCAATATGTTATTTTCTTGCTGTATATACCTAATTTTAGAAATGTTTTATGCAATGTTTTATACAATGACATTATTTATACATTATTTTTATCTAACTGATTAGCTGAAAATTTTATTACCATAACATTATTTAATATTATGTGTTCGTGAAACTAATCTTATTGTGTATGTAAATTTAAATTTTTTGTTTAATTGTATTTTGTATTTTTTACCTATGTATTTTTTATTTCAACCACATACAGGGGTATACTCCTCAGTGGTATTGTGATTTATTCATCACTCCTGTATATATTGTATCTTTTGCTGTACTTTACAAAGATGAATAAAGTCGAAGTCAAACATTTCCTCGGGCGTGTCTTAATCAAACCCGAACGAGGAAGCCATTGTATGGCGAAACACGTGTTGCGTTTTTGTAAAACTGTCTAGTGAAAATCACACAATGAAGTGTTTTTAGTCTATGTTGGTACCTGTCTCTCTGAACACAAAAAAAATTGTCGACTCGGACAAACCAACAAATCAGCTATAGCCGAACTTGCTCTCAACAAAGAAGGCACTCACATTATCTCATTAGAAGATACAGTAATACTCGATTAAACTCAAAAATTACTATCCAAGAGTATAGAGATTCGAAAACACAGAGATACTTTCAATGTCAAAGAAGAGACAATGAACATCAATAAAATCTGGCTACCTGTCCTTACAGATACACAAACAAGGTCAGGTAATCCAATTAGAAAAAACTAAGCCACGCCCACTAATGATACTATAAAACCAGAAATACCAGCATCGTAGTTACGGACTTCTAGCCAGAATGAGCAATTTTAGCTATTCGAAACAAATGGTGAGACTAATCAAATCTTTTCTAGCAGACCGACGATGCCGTTGCAGAGTAGGACACGAACTCTCTACCATGCGACTTCTGGAAGCAAGAGTCCCACAAGGTGCAGTTCTTTCCCCACACCTCTAATCGGTATATACAGCAGACGTGCCCAAACCAGAGAACAACTTCAAAAAGTTGGCACTCTACGCGGACGACACAGCTCTACTGGCGAGATCCACTAGCCACAACAAGCGGACAGACTAGAAGAATAGGCCAACTTTTGGAAAATCAGTTCAAACCCCGACAAGAGTCAGGCGATACTGTTTACCCGGAGGCTGATACACCCGGAAGGAAACGTCATCTTCAACGGACCAAAGAATCCGTGGACCATCGAAGCAAGATACCTGGGAGTCACCCTCGACAGGAGACTGACGTTCAGGTCCCACATACAGCAGAGACTAGGGCTGGCGAGAGCCGCCCGGCAATACCTATACCCAATCATAGACCGCAGGAGTAACATGGGTCTCCATGTAAAACTGCTTCTCATCAAGAACGTACAACTTTCCATCATTCCGTATGCCTCCACTGCCTGGGGCCAGTGCGCAGTGACATACAGACGCAGTATTCATGAACGTTTGCTTACGAGCTGCCGTAAACGCTCCAAGATACATGCCTAACAGATTCATCTACCGGGACCTGGACCTCTACATCCACTACGTAGACGCATACATGAGAAAGCACACCGAAAACGTATTCGAAAGAATACGAACACACGCCTGTCCAGCGCTGCGTGACTTACATGAAGCGTTCAACAGGGATGACTCCAGATTTCGCGAAGGGGATGAACACATGAGGCCCACGAAGCAGAACCAACGACCACCTTCGAGAGTCGCTGTCAGGCGGCTCCGGTAAGTATAAAAATGTATATACAGATTTCTAATACCCACTTTCTTATAGATACACACACACTAACATAGTTCGCGACCAAAAAACACTTGTCTCCGGTAAGGTTAAGGGGACCCCCATGCAATCATTAGTAGGTACACAGTAAAGTCACGAAAAATAAAATGAACAGATTACGAGAGTAAAAACACCTAAAGGCTGACTTTCGATCGCTGAAGTGCCCATCAGCAGGTTGAGATCCACTCAGGGATGAGCGGGGGTGGATGGACGAGATTCTAGCTTCTGCACAAAGTAACCGCGTGGGGAATATTCTATTTCAGGGGGGAGGCATGGGGGGAGCATCGTAGTTACCACACTGCGACCGTTTTTGGTTGCCTACCGCAGTATTAGACGAAACGATAGGCATAAAAACCCACAGACCGCGGCCAAAACACCCGGAAAATAGCTTTCTCACAGTTATACTTGGCCGTGAAAGTTCATATTCTTTGATCAATATAAATTATTATTCCTCTTTTATAAACTGAAGTATTACATTTCATAAATCATTGTATCTTTCTGAAAATAATGCAATAAACCCCATTTTAGGTGGAACTATGTTTTGCAATTCTTTTACGTGACTTAAGGGATGACTTAATCCATGTACGCAAGTTGGACAAAATTGACCGTATATGTACATAACATAACCTACAAATGGAGTAGCCGAGATATGTGATTATAATTAATTCATTATTGTTTGGCCTTCTTAACTATGTTGATGATCAAATTGGTTTCAGCTTAGAAATGCAAATCACAAACTCATGGGGTTATATCCAAGATAATGGTCGGTTTGACGGATTGGTGAGCTTGCTTGAAAGGAGGTTGGTGGATTTTGGTAGTTCTCCCCTTTTATTCAAATTAGATAGAATGCCTTATGTGGATTATAGTTATGGAAACTGGATTTTGAGGTGAGCATTTATAAAAAATCTTATACAACTCATAATAATCGAAGAATAAAAAGACTGTAAGGAAGTTCAATCTTGATTATATGAGAAACCACTCTTTCACAGACCACCTCGTACGCTCGTTACGCTCCTGAGCGGGAACTAACCACTAGTTTTTACCCGAATCAAAAGAAATATTCTTAATCAATATATCAGTCCAGTGAATCATTTTGATCATTCTTGTTCGATCGATGACCTATTCACTTTGTGGAAATTCATATTGATTGTAGCAGAGGTTCTCAAACTTATTTTGTCTACTTCGAGAATTAATTATTTTCTAGCGCTCCCCCAATTTTTTTTACTTTACTTCATCTTAAGAATCACAATCGCAGTCATTATTTCAATAATTAAGTTATGTGTGTCATGTGAAAATAAGAATAATGTGAAACACCATTTTGTAATATTAGGAAAACTTTTATTCGTGTTATTGAAACAAACATTTCAATTTGAATTTTAAAACTAATCTTATGTGAAGGATGAATTTGATGATTTTTAACAAGTTTGTTAATATCAGGCTCGAATTTACTCAAAAACAGGCGTAAGTTATCGCGTTCGGTAATCTGCAACCGAATTTTTTTAGTTAGCAACGTTGCCACAGCACTAAATCCACGTTTACACAAATACGATGATAAGAATGCTATCATCGTTGAACTATGGACCACAATCTAGGGTACAATTGCGGGATTGGCTTTTGTAGCCAAAATTCTTTGTATCCATTTTTGAATTTTATTTTTATTTTCTCGTTCGTTATCAGTTCTATGAGTTATTCTTCCAGCTGGGGTGATCCTGCTGTGTTGACATTTGGAAAAGGATCCAACACCCAGTCCGGTATTTCCAATTTTGAAATGTCCCGAAATCGTTCTGCGAAATCACTGTGATGGTTCTCCAAATGTTGGCAGTAGACAAGCAAGTCGTCGTTGTTGAAGGATACTGCTGACAAATTAGAGAAATTGCGAAACTCACGTCTGCCGATATTATTCTTGTATAAGAGCAATTGGGCTACAAAAGCAGCAATGACATTTTTTGTTTCAATCAAATTCAAGTCGTCACCTTGAAGTTGGAGATTGACATCATCAAATAATTTATACAGGTCTGTCAAGTACGCAATATCATTCTTTGAAGTGATGAAGTTGTCATGCAATTCTTTGTCTTTGTTTTCCAAGAACTCTATTACAGAGTCAAATAGATTGTAAAATCGAATCAGACAGTTACCTCTTGAAAACCAATGCACTTCTGTGTGAAATAGCAATCGGTTGAAATCTTCATCATTAGCAACACAAAGCTGATTAAATAATCTGTGATTAAAAGAGCTGTTTCGGATTTTATTGACTGATTTGATGATATATTGCAGTGATTGAGAGAGGCGCTCACTCAAATTTTTCGCAACCAAATGTTGCTTATGAATGACGCAATGTACAGCGAGCACATCTGGAATTTTATTTTTGAAGTACGCTATGAAGCCTTTGTGAAGTCCTGTCATAGCCGGAGCGCCTTCCGTAGCAGCTGATATAATATTCTTCAGTGGAATTTCTTTCTCATTACAAAATTTTTCCAGTGTATTACATATGGTTTTTCCTTTTGTGTCCGTCTCTAAATTTCTGTGAAATAGTAGTTCTTGATATATTTTCTCATTTTTAATAAACCTCACGTATGCCAACAACAATGCTTCATTGGTTGGTAAAGTGGACTTATCTAACTGAATTGATAATCTAGAAGTACTCAGATGATTGCACAATGGCTCTTCAATGTTTTCAGCCATCTCATCAATTCGTCTTTGCACGGAACTATTACTCGAAGGAATTTTTTGGATAATATCTGCTGCTGGTTTATGCAGCACAGTAGTTATGACTTCTTTTATTGCCGGTAAAATTAAGCCCTCTCCAATAGTGTGAGGTTTACTTGTTTGAGCAATTAGCAAAGAGATATTGCAGGAAGCTCGGAGTCCGTCGTCGTATTGCTTAGAAGCCGCTGAAAAAAGTTTTGACACAGTTGGCTGAGCTGAGTGTTTCTTTATCAGTTCTTGAAAATAAGTCACAATTTTGTCTTTTTTATCTGAATGCATTTTATTCAAATGATCTTGTAGCCTTGAGGGTTTCATCGCTTCATTCGAAAATGTTTTTTGGCAAAGAAGGCACACAGGCGAAGATGGATTTGTGGGATTTTCAATAAATCCATATATTTTATATATTCGCGCTATACTGCCGTTTCTTCTTTTTTGCTTCCGCCACAATTTTGTCTTCAAAAATGCCGAAGTAAAGAATCGAGTATTAAAAACTTACTAATGACACAACTTACACTATTCACCACCGCATGTACAGCACTTTACCTAGCTACTCGCTAACTAAATTCACTTCTTTTCTTAATGTCGTCGAATGACATTACTGGCTGGATGGCGTGCGCGCGCTTTTATATGAGGCAGCGGGCGGGTCTAGCACTTTCGAGAATGGAGACAGAAACTTCTTGCTTCGCATTGAAGCTAACCGTCATCTATTGTACAGTTTGACAACTATCGGACAGGAAATAGTAACTGTCCAGTCCGCTGGATGATGTTACACGAGGAAACGTGCGTTAAGCGCGAAGGAGCGGTAAAGTTTGTGTTAAAAGCAAAAAAACATTTTTAAATTAGCCATCGCCCCCCTAAACTGCTTGAACGCTCCCCAATTTTCTCTGTGCCCTTTACTGCCCCCTATAGGACTCCAGCGCGTTATCGCCCTCTTTGAGAAAGACTAGATTATAGGAAGAAGAAATTAAATTTTGTCTGATTTTTACTAAACTTTTCATTTGTTACGACCGGTTTTGGTTTATTAAGTCATTCTCAAGACATGATACTTCTTAAGACTTGAGAATAAGATGGAATAAACAATCATTTTTGATTGTTTAGGAATTCTTTACAAAAAAGTTTGATTTTTTCCTAGAATCCAACGTTTTTCACAAGTTGAATTCATGTGTACATTGTTGCAGCATGGTATTTATACAAGGTGGAACATCAAACGGTACCACTAACTTTTTGCAATAACCCAAAAATTTGGTAAAACTCTGTGAAGAGAACAAGTTTTCATTTAAGAATCACTGCAACTTTCGACGAGAAATCATCTTTCAACAGTTAGAAAATAAGAATGGGGTTGATTCGAAAAAAGATTCCAAATACTAATCAAATCCGAAACAGGCACTTCCCCCAGACACCGGTAATGCAATATTTTTCTCGATGCGCATTTCACAAACCAAGTTGGTGTCTTCAGGAGATAAAAAAAAACTGATGCTTTACTTTTGGAAATCAGTTCACTAGTTTGGAAGACATATAACATTGATATTCAAGAATATGCTTTACGAAAAATTCAAGAAATGAATTGATACATGTTGTCGCTCATTAATAATTATTATAACTATTCAAGTAACACTTCATCGTTACATTTTCACTGAACAGTTCATAAAACCACAATCAAATAACCTTCTACTTTAATAACTTAATAACTGATAATTCCACCAGAGTTCGAAGTTCACCTGGAAATTTCAACATTCAATTCATTAAATGAGTTGGTGAAATTTTTACATTAGAAACAGAATAAACAGATGAGAAGAATCCAATTTTATACGGCCATTCAGTAAATTTTTCAAATTCTTAAATTCATTGATTTCTGAGCATTCCAAAAGAAATCACAGATATGATCTTTTATTCTTTGGAACAAAGTTCTCCCCGTTTGACCAATATGGATATTTGGGCAAGAACCATAAGTCAACGTATACGCTCCTCTCCATCCGATACTGGAGATTTATTGTTGTTGATAACTTTGCTTGAATTCTAATCTCTAACCGATACTGAATTATTTTCTGTATTGTTTTCTATAAATTTGTCTATATCATCATAATCATCAATTGAAAAAATACAGATAAAACTTGCCGTGTGTATCTTGCCCAAAACTTTATATAGGCCAAACGGGAAGAACTTTTCCCCAAAGAATAAGAGAACATAGGAGTAGTTCATTGAATATGAAGACCAATTCTTCATTTGCATGGCAGAGAGGCATGAGTTCAACGACGACTATGACCAAGTTGGCGTCTTAAGGATATGATTTTTCTTCTTATTTTCAAAACACCAACTTGGTTATTGAAACGCGCTTCGAGAATAGTATTGAGTTCTGGTGTTTGGGAGAGCGGCTCATTTTGGATTTTTTCCCTGTGTTGAATCTGTTAGTAATAGCTCGAGAAGAGTATTGCATTTCTATTGAATAGGAAATGTAATTGATTTTGGATTTCTATTCATTTCGAAACTGAGTACCTTATTACGGAAAAATTCAAAAGGTTATAGAATAATTTCCAAACACTTCACCACAATGTATCAGATATACTATGACTGTCTGAATCATTTGCTAAAACTATTCCAGAGGAATTTTCTTTGACTTTCAGATTGATTATATAGATTGTCATTCAAAATCTATTTGAAATTTGCATTTTTTGGAAATGGCATTTCAAAGCTTATATTATGAACGAGTGGACCTATTTTGAAAAGCGAATCAGCAAGGGATAGGGAGTTTCTCTTCAAGAGCGGATCTAGAAATGTATTGACTGGGGGTGCACTTGAGATGAAATTTTCGCTGTGAATAAATGAAATTCAAGCTGTTTAGTGAACATGATAACGGTTTAAAATAAAATCTCAATTACTGCATTCAGTGTAAGATATTCTGTTCATTTCATGAAAGAAATACAAAACATCAATAAAATTCATCCAGCCCCCTGGCTGGATCCATCACTGTGGCCCTTTCGTATTTGAGAGATGACACTCTCGTTTTTAGATGAAAATTACATACTGATTTTACAATAAGTTATGAATTTTCAGATCAACTTTCATATATCGTAGGCCGAAGATTACTCAGAAATCTTACGAAATATTTTTGAGACCTCTGGAAAAGGATGTTTGGATAACCATTATGTTTCTATTAGGGGCCATTTTGATCGTTTTAAAAATGGCTTTCTCGAATGAGATGAAGGAGTTCAGAAAGGAACATTTGGGAGTAGATGCGTCATGGAGTTTTTTAGTGCTGTTTACTTTAGGAGCATTTTGCCAACAGGGTAAGTCAAATGCAACTCCTAAATCATACAGATTCAATAATATTTCTAATTATATCTTGGCGATAGAATATGAGTGTGAAAAGTATAGAATGGTTCAATACTTAGAGGTTGCTAATACACAAGATACATAAAAATACCATGGTAGTGTGTAATCACTTGGATCCTTTCTATGCAATATATTTTCACGAAAACAGTCTACAGCACTCTTGATTCTTCAAGAAATAAAAAGATCCAACGTACTTCGGCATTTCATTCACAGAGGCGCTGAGTACACACCAATGTTTGCATTTGCAAACGATTCTTGTTCCATGTGTACTGTTATTTATCGTTATAGTTTCATTTCTAATAAAGTGGGACTTGTTTCACACTATATTCAATTGCTTGCGATACGAGGGTGGTCTAAAAAGTTTCCGACCTCAAAATGAAGATGGCAGCACTCGTAAATTGAAGCTAGTGAAGTGTTCGTCCGTTGACAGTTACTCACCCAAGTTTCAGTCATTTTGGACGCGCAGTTGTTATGTAACAATCATTTGAGTAAGTTGATGTGAGTGTTTTTATGAAAATGGACAAAATCGAGTATCGTGTTGTCATTGAATATTTGATTTTGAAAGGCAATAGGCCTACGCAAATCAAAGACAAGTGGGATTCTGTGTATGGGGACTCTGCACCATAATTTACCACAGTGAAATTTTGGGCAGCTGAATTTAAACGTGACCATAAGAGCTTGGGAAACGATGAACGTTCGGGACGTCTAAAAACTGCAACTACCGAAGAAAACATCGCCAAAGTTCACCGAATGGTGCTAGACGACCACCGAATTGAAGTGAGAGAGATAGCAGAAGTTATGAACATGTCAAAGGAACGTGTTTGTCACATAATAAATCAACATTTACCTAGGCATGAGAAAGCTGTCCGCGGGTTGGGTGCCGCGTTTGCTCAGGTTAGACCAAAAATGTGCATGAATGAACATTTCCAACGCTTTGATGGCGCAGTTTAGGTGCGAGTTTTGGCGTCGATTGAATACTGTAGATAGTGTAGATGAAATTTGGATAGTAGATCATCTATGAGGACTCCAGGGCGGAAGTGGATTATCAGTGTTTTTCTTGTGTATGGCTCGGTTTGCGGTGGTGTTATCGCTGTTTGGAAGATAACGAGTCGAGCGTGCTTGGAATGATATGAGAACAATGATAATTGGGTACCCGCATCTTCTCCTATCTTCAATGATAACAAAGTAAGCCTCCTATGTATATTACACTTCGGAAAATGCTCAAGTATTTTTTTGGCATTGAGACGAATCCTTTGATGTCGAAATTATAGAAATCGGATGACTGGAAGTGAAAATCGAAACTGACCATTTTATTGAACATTTGGACTCTCCTCGAAATGGGCAATCCTAATTCACCCTTATGGTGAATTCGGATTGCCCATTTCGGATTCCATCCCAATGTTTATGAAACGGAGGTGTTTATTTTCCGATGAATCGTAAAGATCCGGCGATAAATGGTGCTGATGTATCTCCTCGTCGATGATGATGATACAATTCTCTAAATGATAACCGGAAAAACGCATACTGTTAATTATGACAATGAATAAATTAATACTCTTTCTACGTATATGTATATATATTTCTTAATGGCATAACACACGCAAGATTATATTTTTCCTTAAATGAAGTATTTTGAGACACCCTGTACACATTGAGGAATCGCACGTTGAAACATTAGGGCCCCGTTGAACTGGCATGTTTTTTCTTGAATGATGTATTTCGCCACACCTTGGCGTCATGTTCTTTTCCTAAATGATGTATTTTGAGACACCCTGTAAACATTGAGGGATCGTACGTCAAAACGTAAGGGTCCCGTTGAACTGTAATGTTTTTTCTCAAATAATGTATTTTTGCCAAACTTTGTACACATCAACGTCATGTTTTTCCTTGAATGATGTATTTTGATCCACCCCTGCAGACATTGACGTCATGTTTTTTCTTCAATGATGTATTTTGAGACACACTGTACACATTGAGGGATTGTATGTTGAAACGATAGAGCCCCGTTGAACTGTCATGTTTTTTCCCAAATAATGTATTTTTGTAACACCTTGTAAACATTGACGTTATGCTTTTGTCATAAATGATGTGTTTTGGGACACCCTGTACACAATGACGCCATATTTTTTTCTTTAACGTTGGTTACCATGTTTTTTTCTTTAATGCCGCACGCCCTGTATAGCATTTGATTGGTGTGTTTTGAAACAACTCCCTGTATACCTTATTATTTTTCAACAAACAGCCGCCATGTGTTTTTCTTCAACGCTGCACACCGTGTATCATCTTGTACACATTGACATCATTTTCTCCCAAATGATGTATTTTGAGACACCCTGTTAACATTGACGCCATGTTTTTTTCTTTAACGTTGTCAACCATGTTTTTTTCTTTAACGCAGCACGCCTTGCATAGCATTTGATTGTAGTCTTTTGAAACAACATCCTGTATATCTTATGATTCTTTGACAAACAGCCGTCATGTTTTTTTCTCTTCAACGCTGCATACCCTGTATCACCTTGTGCACATTGACGTCATGTTTTTCTCTAAAATAATGTATTTTGAGAAACCCTGTTCACATTGACGCTATGTTTTTTTCTTCAGCGTTGGCAACCATGTTTTTTTTTCTTCAACGCTGCACGCCCTGTAAAGCATTTGATTGGTGTGTTTTGAAACAACATCCTGTATACCCTATGAATTTTCGACAAATAATCGCCATGTTTTTTTCTTTTACGTTAGCAGCCATTTATTATCTATGCGTTCGTTTCAATCACTGCTGTGAAAAGGTTTCTCAACATTTGATATCTACTACTGAACAATTTCTTTCTGTTTTATCACCGCATTGTCCAAAACCTACTTGATCAAAGTGTGCGTTTCAAAGTCTACATGAATAAACCTAAAAGCTCTGTATTTCAAAGATGACTAGCAAAACATTAAGTATGCTACGTTTTTGAAACAAAAATTTTAAATTTAAAAAATGGTTTGCGAATATTTTCCTACAAACAAATAACTTTTAACAGAAAAAAAGTTACATGCTGTAACTCAGAAATGATGATTAATATCGATATGTGGGTTTCACCATTGAGTTTGTCATAAAATTGGACCCCCCCAACACAGCATTCAATTTTCATCTATCTAGTTTAAAAACAGGAGTTTTCCTTCAAAAGTGTCCAATTTGGCCCACTGTGTACATCTTCCTTGTCAAGAAAGTGTTTTTTTTTAATTCATTGACTTTTGTAGGTGCAACTTGTTATCCAAGACTGTTCAGTAGCCGAATACTGTCAGTATTCGTTTTCCTCCTTTGTATACTGGTTTATCAATTCTACTCAGCAAGTATTGTCTCTTACTTGCTATTAGATCCTCCTCGAACAATATTTAACTTGAAAGACCTGCTTGAAAGCCAGTTACAAGTTGGGATTGAAGATATTCTAATTGACAGGAACTATTTTTTGGTAAGTATTGCAGAATTACTATAGATGTAACGAGTGCAAAATAATACCAGTGAAGCAATCTTTTCGTCATACTTTCCACTTACGGAGGTTATCAACTGTAAAATGTTTTGGTCGTTACATTTTGACGTGGTAGACGTAGATGTGATAGACGTAGAAGAAGTGGTTGAAGTGACAGTTCTACAGAACACGCAGGGCACTCCACAGAATAAGGCCCCTGAAGACACAAGAACTGGTTTGTTTGGATGCGGAAGTTCATAGTGTTCTAACAGAAGAGGCTGACATCTGGCAAATCAACACCGTCGTGTATAGCGTCGTCCAATAGCTTTCCCAATTTGAAGGACAAAACTACGACATATCCATCACACTCATGTGATGGAATACGAATGCTAAAGGCTGCTAAGAAGTCACTAGTGAGGCGAGAGAGAAGTATCGCGGAAAACCTTAGGTTCCGCGAGAAACCTTCTCGCTTATTTCAAGAGCCTCCACGTGTTGTGGTTAATCCTCCGACCGCTGATCACGTGGAATCCTTCTAGAAGAATATCTATGAACACCCTCAGCCACTCAACTTAGTCACTCCGGCCCTAGCGCAGTTCGAAGCTTTCAACAGAGAGATTCGACAGCCTGAGCTCAATGAACTACGCAACTCGATAACCCCCGATGATGTTCGAAGAGCCCTTGTGGGTTCCAAGAACTTTGCTGTTCCAGGCCCAGATGGGCTGAACACTTATTGGTGGAAAAAACTACCAAGCACCCACCGCCATCTGGCCAGAATTTTCAACTCATGGCTGGACGGAGAGAAGCCGATTCCGGATTGGTTTGTCGAAGAACGGACCGTTCTTATCCCCAAAAGCAGAGATTCGTCGAATCCTAAGAATTACAGACCGATAACATGCTTTAATTCGTGTTATAAGTTTTTTACAGTCATTTTATGCACACTCACTTATGAATACTCACCGCAGTTGATCGAGTGTTTGAACGGATATACGAGCAGAGAGGGTCGAAGAGAGGAGTCGCTGGATGTGAAGAGAACCTGCCCATCGATAGATGTGTAACCCAGGACTCTATACAATATAAGCGCAACCTCTCTATGACCTGGATCGATTACCGTAAGGCATTCGATACAATATCGCATGAGCTCATCTTGCATTTGCTCAGATGCCTTGCGGTACCCGACAAATAGTGAGATGCATTGAACAACTGATACCACTCTGGCGAACTCGCTTCACCATAACATCTAGTCAAGCCAGAGTCCAAACAGGGTGGGTCATTTTCAAAAGGGGTGTAAATCAGGGCGATTCCCTCAGTCACCCTCTCTTCTGCATCTCAGAAATACTCAAGGGTATAAATATGGCACCTCCGGAAACCGGACGCACAAGGTCACCCATTTGTTTCCATCAGTCCTTGAGGGTGGTGGAAGAGTACACGCATGCTATCGGTATGAAATTCAGGATAGACAAATGTGCAATGGTCCATCTCAAAAGAGGATGATGCGGGGACTACGGAGAGGATGTGCAGCTCGTAGATGAAAGCATCCTACGCCATCTGGATGCCGGAGAGACGTATACTCACCTCGGGGTGGAGCAATGCCACTCACAAGAGGTAACAGCAGTGAAGAACTCTCTCCGCGGCAAGTATAAGCACAAACTTCGACAGATCTGGTCATCGGAACTGTCGAGGAAGAACAAAGTTGCTGAAACAAATATGCTTGTCGTTCCAATCTTACTCTACTCGTTTGGAGTAGTGAAGTGGACCTGGGAGGAGCTGTATCAACTCGACGTAAAGACCCGAAAAATGATGCATCTCTATAGGAGTTTGCATCCCAAATCGTTTGTTCCACGGTTGTACTTCCTCCGACAACAGGGAGGCCGTGTAGTTTGGAGTGTCTACATGACAGAAAAGTACTGGATATAGCTTGTAAAGTCGTCAGGAGTTCGGCACCCCTTCTCTGCAAGGTCCGTGACCATGAAAGAGCAGGAATTGGAGCATTTCCATTTCTCTTCAGGGCAGCTGCTCGAGCAGCTGATGAACTCGGTTTAGTTTTCGACACTGAACGAGGTGACCACAACTCTGTCACCGAGTTGGAACCCGTTCAGGAAAAAGCTCATATAAAAGCCGCAGAGATCACCTCACTTCTGCGAAAACACAAGGATTATCCAATGCATGGGGCCTTCTTCATTAACATTAAAGACCTTGGCTTATCAAAGCGCTTGACTTTCGCTTTCCTCAGGTCGAGTGGGCTGAAGTCGGAAACTGAGGGCTTCATCATGGCTTGCCAGGATGGTGTCTTCAACACCTCAGTCTATCACAGTCGCATGATGGGTATAGAAGTTCCTGACACAAAGTGCCGCGAGGCGCCCAAGACCCTAATGCACTTGCTATTAGCATGTCCAGCTTATGCGGTCTCTGCCTATATCCACCGACATAACGCTGCCCTGATAGTGCTATATTACCATCTACGGCACTCTTACGGTATTGACGAGACACTGGTGTTGCCCTACGCTCCGGGGGATATTGAATCCGTTGTGGGGAACGAGAAGTGTCGAATTTATTGGAACTATTCGTTTCCCACCCTCAGGCTCATACAGTGTCATCCCCAAAGTACGCACCGTATGGGAAACTTTTTTATTAAGGATTTTTCGACAAAAAGTTATTCCTGTTTAAAGTTTGTGCATCCGTTAAAACTAAACATGCACCAACAAAATACAGTACAACACACGTAATATACGAGAAGCCTTCAAATATTTGATTTTGTGACAAGAGAGTACTCTTATTTTGAAAAATCTCGGGAAATGTTATTTGAAAAAAGTTGTTGAGCATTTAAAACTACATTCAGATTTGAAGTTATGGCCATCTAAGTGAAGTTTTATATTTTTACCCTTTTTTTTTAAATGGGGGCAACGAAAAAATGTTTTTGCTAAAACGATAAATATGCATCATCCTGTATACGATGGTTCATTTGAAAAGCCTGTAATATTATAAATTACACAACTATGGTGTTAACCACGGTCAATTGTTTTGAAATGTTAATTAATTTTCAAAGTTTTTGGTGCAGTTATTTTTACTTTTTGTTAACACCGAAAATTACTCAAAATTATAGAGTATTGTAACAAGAACTTAATATTCAATAATATCAGATCACACAACATCGAAATGAAATCAACCGTCGTATACAGGATGCTGTCTATTTATCGTTTTGGCAAAAATTTGTTTTTCGTAGTCCCCATTTAAAAAAACGGATAAAATAATAAAATCCCACTTAGATGGCCATGACTTCAAATCTAGATGTATATTTCAATGTTGAATAACTTTCTTGAATAACATTTCCCTAGATTTTTCATAATAAGAGTAATTAACTCTTGTCACAAAATCAAATATTTGAAGGCTCCTCGTATATCACGTGTGTTGTACTGTATTTTGTTGGTGCAAGAATAACTTTTTGTCGAAAAACCCTTAATAAAAAAGATTCCATATGGTGCGTACTTTGGGGATGGCACTGTACAAGCTAATTAGCCTGATGTAGTCCTTCTCGACCACCAGAGCAACACGTTTTTTGTCATGGAGTTTTCAGCTCCTGGCGAGACGAATATCGTCCGAAAAGAGGAGGAAAAACGGATTAAATATCGAGATTTTCTGATTATTGGGGTCCTTGGTGATGCCCTCTCTACTCTCTAATCTTAAAATCATACTGGCTTGCCGCACTGAGGCAGAAATCTTAGCGACTCAGATGCAGAAGGCTGTCATTCTTGGCTCACTGCGCTTGCTCGTGGCACATGATTTTCGGACCCAATGATCACTTACCCCACGGTGTAGGGAGTGGTCATTGGTTGATAATGCTGGCGCGCCCTCCCGAAGGTATCGGGGCTTCGGGGGATAGGGCCTGACCAGCGCACAATACGGTGAAAACAAAATCATTTATCAATGAAAAGAGAGAGAATGTATACAGCAAAAACAATTTTTTGCATGAATGATACCTACTCTGTGAGTGAGCAAACACTTGTTTCATTGGTAGCATAAGGTTATTACCGCCAAATATGATAAGTCAAACTGGGCTTTCATTTTTCATTGTAGAAAGAATGATACTTATAAAGAGCATTGATAAATACTGAAAACAAGCTGGGTGAAATTGGAACGAAAACTCATATTATTTAAAATGCCTGATTTTGATTAATTGAAACTTCTTTCCTGAATTTCATGTAATGGCTTCAATCAATCATCTGGATTAACTTTAATCTGGCAGTAAAGGGATTGGTGAAAACATGGTTTGTTGAAATGTCATCAGGACAAAACTTTCTTTGTCTCCAATTTGTTTTCCATCAAGTAAATCCAAGAACTGATGATATCGATATTTCTTTTTTCAACTTTTTTCGATTATTCGGATAAGGGTTTCATTTGGAGTACGACCATAATTTGAGTTGGCAACTCTGCTTATTTTGTCCTCAATGTCAATTTTCATGGTAATTGTTCGCAACGTTACCTGATCTAAGATGAATACAATTAAAACAGCAAATAAAAGTGACAATTCATCAAACGTATAATGACAACTGATGAAAGTGAAAAATACATAAAGTAGCCAACTTGGGAAATTATAAGTGCTGCAAACAAAATCCTAATTGATATGACAAAATGAATATAATGATAATGACGTTCAATAACAAATGAAACTCTGAAATGGAAATACAGATATTATTTACAACTTACTCTGATGACAAATTTCACAGATTGGCCAACATAAAAAAATGTGCTCTTTATTATCTGTACGTTAAAAAATACAAATGATATAGCGAAAGTACATAAATGGCGTTATCAGTGGACTGTAATTTTGATTGTAATTAATTTCGATACGAGAGCATCAAAGTTACCTGATAGTTGGAGTTTTCCTCTTGGATAAGCTGCTCTGGGTTTTCTCAGTGGCAGTAGCAGTAGCTTCAAAATCATTAACAACACTAAATCTTCTGGTAAGTCATAAAAAAAATCCTAGTAAACGAATAAATATTCTAATAGAATTGACAAATTCATTATTCATAATTTGGTAACGTGGTTTCTGTGTGTTTCAGTGTTAATCATAGTTATGTTTTGTACCCTCCTGTTTGAAATTGGATCTTATTACAGCTTCACTTTTAATGGATATTGAGTTTTGTTATTTTTTATACAGTGCATCTCTTTAATGCCCTTTTATTTTTTGAACGGGACAACTAAAAAAATTGAAATTTGGGATAATGAAATTATTGCATTTTGAAGTGAAATTGACAGATGAAACATTCAAGATGGCGACTGGGCGCCATCTGGAGAAAAGAAACTGAATAGAAAGGGGGGTCTTGTGACACATCTTTTTGAAGCTCCTGACAAATGCTTCACAACCCTGGAATATAATGTCAATATCTTCAACTACCACAAAATGGCGGAACTTTTGATAATTGCCTGAATACATTGACATTTAACTACATAATATGAGGTAATACACTTGCGGTCAGTTCAGAAGATGCTCGAAATGGTTGCCTTGAACTTCTTGACATATGAACAGCACATCCGATATTTCACGCCGAACATTTTCGAACACAGTAACGTCAATATCTCTACAAATATTTATTATTCTCTGCTGTCTATCCAATATTGGATATCGTACACCTTTTGCTTCAAATAGCCCCATGAAAAAAGTCCAAAAGTGTCAAATCTGGCGAGCGTGCTGGCCATTCTGTAGGATGTCGACGGCCAATCCAACGACTGGGAAATTTGTTTCGACGATTTCAGTGATGTAGTTTCCAGCATATTCAAATACAGTTTCCCTGTTTAATTTTGATCAAGAAATAGAGGTCCTACTATATGGTTTCCCAATATTCCTGCCCAAACGTTAATATTTTCTGGATATTGGGTATGTGTTTCACAGAAAACGTGAGGGTTGGTGTCACTCCAATAACAGTAATTTTGTCTGTGAACATTGCTATTTAAAAAAAATGTACAATCGTCACTAAAACAAATATTGTGGAGATAGGTAAGATGCCTTGCAATGGTTTCCGTCATGATTTCGCAGAATTCTGTTCTTCGATCAGGGTCATCTCCAGTTAATTGGTGTACCATTTCAATTTTGTATGGATGATACCTATTCCTCTTCAAAAGTCTCCACACAGTAGAAGGAGACACCTCTTAAACATTCGCGACGGAATAAGTAGACTGTTCAGGATTTACTACTACTACTACTACCAATTATTTGCACTTGCTGTTCTTCCGGAATGCTTTTTGTTATGTACACTACCGGTAGTTGTGAATTCGGATACAAGTTTCCTCAAATATTTTCTACAGATAGGACGATTCGAAAAACGTTCATTGAAAATCCTTTCGGTCTCGTGAAAGTTACGTGTCGCACCGTAAATAAAAATCGCTTCAATTATTTCTGCCAATGGACGAGAATTGAATTGTTGACGTGATGCTTTTCTACTAGTAAAACCGAAAACTAAATAATAATAATAACAATTATAATAGGTCTTCATTCCCAGAATGATACAATAAATAAATGTGAACATGTTCATTGTCGTACTGACATTTTTTGACGTTTTTATAAACAAAAACGGGTTGTTGGAACTGCCATATGACAGATAAAAAGGAATATTTCTAGAAATATCGATATTAATGTGTTTGTCTTCAGGAAATTATCAAATGGTCCGCCATTTTGTAGTAGGTGAAGATATTGACTTCATATTCTAGGGTTGTGAAGTATTCGTCAGGAGCTTCAAAATAACAAGACCCCCCTTTTCATTTAATTTTTTCCCCAGATGGCGCCCACTCGCCATCTTGAAAGTTCCATCTGTCAATTTCACTTCAAAATAAAGTTTTCATGCATTAATTACATTATCCCAAATTTCAATTTTTTTAGTTGACCCGTTCAAAAAATAAAAGGGGGGGACATTAAAGAAATGCACTGTATGTATTCATGTATTCATGTATGTATTCATCCCATCTGATAAATAAATATAGAATTCATCATTCTTTGCCGTAATTTCGTCAAAGATATGTCTCTGACTCTTAAAATCCAAGTTAAGCTAAGGCAGCCTGAGGAATTAATTTTTTATATCACTGAAAAATTCAGTATTACATTTCAATTAATTTTAATTTGTTTTGTAGCAAACCACAGACCCAGATGCTATAAATTTATATGAGAGTAAAATCAAAGGCACCGCAAATTCCTCTGGATTTTACACACCCTCCGAAGGTCTTGATTTAGTGAGGAAAGGAGGTTTTGCTTTCCACGTTGAAACGAGTACGGCTTATCCAATAATAGAGGAAACTTACACGAATCAAGAGATTTGTGAATTAGACGAAGTGCAGATGTATAGAACGCAACCTATGCATACCAACCTGCAGAAGGATTCTCCGTTCAGGGAAATGATGAACTATTGGTGAGTGCGGTGAAGTTACTTAGAATAGCTGCTGTAGATAAAGGTTTCTCATTAAGCGTTTTCTATCTTGAATAAAACAAATAGTCAGTGAGATATCACCGAAATTTTTTATTCGCTTGAAAGACCCATTGATGCCTTTATGTGTGGAAAATAACATCGTTCAAATGTCCGCCACGGCTTCTCTGTTGGCTTTGAGGAAGGCTGTGGTTTGTGGCTTATTCGCATACACCTATGACTTAAGAAAACCCCACAAGAAAAAGTCTAACGGAGTTAAATCGCACGATCTCGGTGGCTAGTTCACATCACCTCCACGTGAGATGACCGTCCCCTCAAATCGTTTGTGCAGAATGTCCAATTAGTCTGGTTCACATGTACTCGATTTAGCTCTTTTTGGTGACATTTCTCAGCCCTGTCCAAAAATTACGACCAAGGTTTCATTCGATTCGTATTTTTGCCTAGTAAGTTTAAGGAAACGTCCGAAACCGCGCCGATAAAAATTACAAAAGTTATAAACAATTGAGTGAAAAAAAATAAATGGAGCTTTAGTTTTTTTTAATATCTCGGAAAATTTTCAAAATTTTGGAAATTTGAAAAA